TCCCACTTCAGGGGACTTCTGGTAGTTTATGGCAATCACTGCAGTATACGAGTAACTATGTCTTAACAGAGTTTTCACATTATACTTCCTTTCTCTTTAGAGTGCCTATAGGAGGTGGCCAGCCCAGGAATAGCTTAGCAGGCGGGGCTCAGACAGTAAAAGGACCCCCAGGAGCTGTTCACCCAGGAGGTGCAAGTCTTACAAACACGGCCACTGCTGTCAGACCTGTTGTTCCAATCACTGCACCTCAGACACATCCCCAACAACAAACAGCGTCTCCTCAGATGAATAACTGCATGAGGTACTCAGCCCAGCAAATGGTCAGCCAGACTCGCAGTGCCATGCAGATGGGTATGTATAGTCTCCCTAATGCCTCTTGCCTTACCTTCTCAGAATTTGACATTGTATCCCTCGTGAAAAAAGCCACTGGAATCCTATTGTACCTACAAGTTTCCTTTGCAAGTCTTTCATTTTAGTCAAAGCTCAGCCCTCTGTAATAGGATATGTTTTATTGCTTGTAATATTTACAGACTTCTATTGATCTCTGGGAACTATGCTGTGTTTATCAGATTGTGCTGTTGTCACAGCTGAAATAGATTACAGTGGTTACAAATATTTACATAATTTATTTTAGAGAATAAAGCATCCTGCATCCTAAGAAGATTAACATTTCTAAGTCCAGTTGGCTTACTGACAAAAAAAAAAATACTGCACTTATCACAAACAAGTAATATGTGACTTAAAATTAAGAAACATTTCACTGGGCTTCAAGGATGAAAGTTATATATTAGGCAGAAGAGGACTCAGCACTGGTGGTAAAGGAAGATATCCAAAAAACAGTGCCACCTCTTTGAAATGCGAATAAGAGGTTTGCACAGCAGGGGGCCAGTGTTGTTTCTAGTTTTCCTTTTTGATGCAAAGCACGGGTTTTCTGGAGCAGAATTTATGCTGCTTTCCTCATGTTCAATAGTTGCAATGTTGAGTGAATTAAAAGTAAATTACATGGTAGATCTTTACGGCAAAATGTAAAGATGTTTTGTTTTTAATATTTTATAGAGACTTGAGCCCTTGTGTTTATAAAGACTGAGCTAGAGAAGCAAGCACTGGGAATGCTGGCAACTGAAGATTTTAGATTCAGAACAGACTAGACAAAGTATGCTACAATCTAAAACATAGATTCTCAGATTAAGGCCAGAAGGGACCATTATGATCATCTAGTCTGACCTCCTTATAACACAGGCCAAGTAATCAAATCCCCATGAATCTAAATCTTATTCTATTTCTTTGGTTGTAACGCATAGTGGCATCTCTTTACATGCATAGAAGTCACGCTACAATGTAATCTAATTATCATAATTAATTTTTTGTAGTTCAGAGAGAAGATTGATAGATTCCAAGGCCAGAAGGGACCATTGTGATCATCTAGTCTGACCTCCTATATAACACAGGCCATAGAACTTCCCCTAAATAATTCTTAAAGTGTATCTTTTAGAAAAACATCCAAACTTGATTGGAAAATTGCCAGTGATGGAGAATCGACCACAATCCTTTGTAAATTGTTCTAATGATTAATTACTCTCACTATTAAAAATATACTCCTTATTTCCAGTCTGAATTTGTCTAGCTTCAACTTCCATCCATTGGATCACGTTGCAGATTAAAGAGCCCATTATTGAATATTCATTCCCTATGTAGTTACTTAGAATGTAAAGTAGTCACTCCTTGACCATCTCTTTGTTAAACTAAGTAGATTGAGCTCTTTGAGTCTGTCACCGTAAGGCATGTTTTCTAATCCTTTAACCATTCTTGTGGCTCTTCTCTGAACCCTCTCGAATTTATCAACATCCTTCTTGAATTGTGGGCAGCCAAAATGGGACACTGTATTCTAGTAATGGTCGCACCATTGACAAATACTCCTACTCGAGATTCCCTGTTTGTGCTTTTGGCCACAGCATCGCATGGAGTTCATGTTCAGCTGATTATCCACTGTGACCCCCAAATCTTTTTCATAGTCATTGCTTCCAAGGATAGAGTCCCCCATTGTGCAAATATAGCCTACGTTCTTTGTTCCTACATGTATACACTGACATTTGACCATATTAAAATACATACTGTTTCCTTCAGCCAAGCTTACCAAGCAATTCAAATTGCTCTGTGTTAGTGACCTGGCCTTTCATTATTTACTCTTCTGACAATTTTTTTGCCATCTGCAAACTGTATCAGTGCAGACTTTGTTTCTTCTAGGTCATTAATAAAAATATTAAATAATGTAGGGCCAAGAACTGATCCCTGTAGAATCCCATTAAAAATGCACCTTTTCAATGATGATTCCCTGTTTACAATTACATTTTGAGTCCTATCAGTTAACCAGCTTTTAATCCATACAGTATGTGCCATGTTAATTTTATATCTTCTAGTTTGTTAATCAAAATGTCATGTGGTACCAAGTCAAATGCCTCACTGAAGTCTAGGTATAGTACATCAACACTACAACTTTGGCTGATAAAGGTAGTAATCTCATAAAATATATATCAAGTTAGTTTGACATGATTTATTTTCCATAAACCCATGTTGATTGGCATTAATTATATTATCCTCTTTTAATTCTTTATTAATCAAGTCCTATATCAGCTGCTCCATTATCTTGCCTGGGATTGCTGTCAGACTGACAGCCTATAATTACCTGGGTAATCCTGTTTATCCTTGGCACACCATTAACTTTCTTCCGGTTTTCTGGAACTTTTGTGATGTTCCCAGACTTATTGAAAACCAACATTAACAGTCCAGCAAGCTTCTCACCCACCTCTTTTAAAACTCTTGGATGCAAGCTATCTGGACCTGCTGATTTAGAAATGTCTAACTTTAGTAGCTGCAGTTTATCATCCTCCCTAAGAAACTAGCGGAATAGAAAGTGTTGTTATATATGACTACTTTGTGACGGATTGGACCCCACCTTCTGGGATGTCACTTGATATGCTTGGGTCCCACTCAGCCCTCCGGCCCTGCCAGCCTGGATTTCCCTTGCACTGGGTTGCTGTGCCAGGCTCTCAAGCCCCTTTCCAGCACACACCCAGACAAGACCACAGCCAGCTGCAGACACAGACTACAGTCAGATCTGTGTGAGAGGATTCACCCAGCACTCACATGCACACCCACTGTGGAGAGGGAAACCCCAGATAATATTGTGTTGCGCTGTATAGAAAGATCTGCACAGCACAAGCTGATAAAAATTCGTCCTCTCCCTCAATGTGAAGAGAGATATGCACAGCTTGTTGTCACCCACCCCACCCCCCCAGATATGGATTGCACAAACTGGGTTATGTTATAAACAAGAAATAAGGTTATTAACAATAAAAGGTACATTTTAAATGATCATAAGGGATAGCAAACAGAGCAAAACAGATTACTAAGCAAATAAAACAAAACACGCAAACTAAGCTTGATTCACTAAAGAAACAGGTTACAAAATGTAATTTCTCACCCTAAATGTTGAATTAGGCAGGATGCATAGTTTCTAGCTCAGCGTTCCAGTTATTTCTCTTTACAGACTATACTCCTCTGTCTCAGTCTGGACTCAGCCCTTGCCTTTCCCACAGTTCAGTTCCTTTGTCTCTTCAGGTACTTTCAGTAGACTTTCTTCTTGGGCAGGAAGAAATTGAGAAGAGTCCTGTTTGCCTTACTCCCCAGCCTTAAATAAGATTTACATAAGGCAGGAATCTTTTGTTTCCCAGTCTTGACCTCCCCCTCCTTTTGGTGGAAAATCACTAGAAGTCCAAGATAGTGTTTAGTACCAGGTGACAGGACCATCTGACCTAGTACTGTCACAGCTACATCCCAGGACGCCTCTCAGGAAGGAGAGAGATTAGTATCTTTAAAGTATAGTATATTTGTATCTATAAAGATTGTTTCTTCCTAATGGCCCATCAAAGCTGATGGGTGTCTCCCAAATACACACACAGTTGTAATTGTTACATAGCCAATATTCCTAACTTTAGATACAGAAATGATACATGCATACAAATTGGATAATCACATTCAGTAAATCATAACCTTTCCAATGATACCTTACAAGACCCATCTTGCATAAAATATATCTTAGTTAGGCCATATTCATATCATAACCATATTTCTATGAAAAATATGGTGTGTAATGTCACATACATTACCTGTTTTTCCCCCAAATACAGAATAGAGATATCTATTGAATGTGTCTTCTTTTGTGTATTATTATTGATAATTTTACCATTACCATCTAATAATGGCCCAGTACCATTCTTATGATTCTTTTATGATTTGTTTTGTTCCTAATAGATTTAAACAATTTCTTCTTGTCTGTAAGTCTGCTGGCCATAGTGTTCTCCTTGTGTCCCTTTGCTTCCCCTATCCCTTCCCTTAATGTTCTGTAAGTGCTTACTTCTTCCTCAAATGAACAGATCAGCAAGTTCTCCAGATTTCGTCTCCACTGCTTGTCTAGTCACCAGCAGCCCTTGTAGTCAGACCATGCATGATTTGAAACATATTCACGGTTTGGAAAGACTCAGGAGACAGGAATGGAGTGCTTGTTGGAAAGTAGCATTAAATATGTCACTGTGTCATGTATCTTGTAATAGTAACCAAGTTAGCATCAGTTTACACAGATCTGGCAGTACAATATATCTTTGGCTCTCTGGAACCTTTTAGGAAGTTCCTGTTGCTTCAGATGGCCATGCTGCCATAAAGAAGTATTCTCATGGAGCTAAGACAGGATGTGGTTGCAGGATAATTTTAGCCCAGGTAGATAGATTATACCCTCCCTTTCCCATCTCTCAGCTATCCATGTAGCTGCCTCTGCCTTCAGAAGCTACCTGCCAGCACTCCCTGCGTTCTCCTTGTCCCATGTGGTTTTGAGACCACATCTCAATATCCTTCCAACATCTTGACATGCAAAGTAGTCAGAGCAGAATAACTCAGGAAATATAGTTCTCCTGGCACTTAATTTTTTGTGCTTCTCATACTTTCCATGGGTATTTGAGGTTTATTTTAAGATCTCAAAAAAACAAACAATGTATTAGACACAATATGTTGGCCCATATAATTCACAAAGTAAAGGGAAAATTAGCAGAATTTCCAACATTGACGTAAGGAATACTCCAGTTCAATTTCTCTTTCACCAATCCACAATGGCCAAATAGGCTGCTGTCCAGTAGCCCAAATCCTACAGAGCTCTTCTGCATCTCGTCCTGCAGAGTGAAGAAACTTAATCCTATGTCTTAAAAAAAAGAAGGTACTTCCAATAAAAGAAAATTATACAATATTCAAGTCATGCTCTTGTTGGCTTGCAATATACATGAATAACAAATCAATTTTTTCACAAATCCACTAATGTCGAAATACAGAAAATGAAATATGAGCAGTCCAGAACAAAAATAGTCTTCAGTGAACATTGCTAATTAATAGAATGATTGACACAGCACAATCCAAACCCACAGATGTTTAGAGCAAAGACAGCTATAGACTGTAGAAGCCTTGCTCACAGCTGAGTCTTCTCCGACCATTTCTTTTGCTGTTTTTGGCACTGTCAGTTTCCTTCAAGCCTAGAAACGCTGATGCCTGTATTAAACAAACAATGCATGTCAGTATGACTATTGAATCAACCTTAAATCTAGAGGGAGGTAGCAGCATGCAATGAAGTTCTATCATTTGTATTCTTATCCCAGAGATCTATAGAAATACCATTTCACCTTGGAACCAATCTGGCTGTAACAATGTTTTCAGACCTTGAACACTGACCTTATGCTTGTAGAGGGCTACAAGATTTGATTTCTTGTAGCAGGACTTGCACATTACACAAATCCCAAACGAGAGTGCCACTCGATTAGCCTACCCACAAATACAATTTGTACACAAAGATTGGGAGGGGATGAGTTAGGTGGGAGTAAATCAATAATACCCATTTCTAACCTGAATTTGGAGATGGCCCATATATTTCATTACATGTTGTTGGGTGATCGAGTAGCAGGGGCGGCTCCAGGCACCAGCGCAGCAAGCACGTGCCTGAGGCGGCAAGCCGTGGGGGGCAGCCCACTGGTCGCTGTGAGGTCGGCAGTCAGGCAGCCTTCGGCGGCATGCCTGTGGGAGGTCCGCTGGTTCCGCGGTTTCGGTGGCAATTCAGCAGCAGGCATGCCGAAGGCACGGGACCGGCAGATCACCTGCAGACACGCCACCGAAGGCCGCCTGACTGCTGTGCTTGGGGCGGCAAAAAACATTGAGCCGCCCCTGGAGGTAGGGAAGACAGTAAAAAAGAAAATGACAATCTGGAGAAAATCTGAATTCGTGGACTCTTACTCTTCCTAGAGGACAAGGTTACAAAAAAATTCAAGACAAATAAGTGACAGTTTGGTGGATTGCTAAATTCAACATGAATAAAAAGAAACTCTGTTGGATGAGGGAATAACTGGGAAAGAGAATCATACCAACATTGGAGTTGCTGTACTGGAATATATTAGGGGTCCATCTAGCACAGGTGTCCATCTAGTTGATTGTCTTCCAAAGGTGGGTAATATCTGATGCTTCAAGAAGAGGTTAAAAAAAATCTCAATAGGCATCCAGTGTTGTGTGTATAACATGGGAATAAGATTAGGGTGGAATTGCTTCATGATCTCAGATGGTGATCAGTTGCTACGCTGAGCATGGGGATGATGCCCTTTGCCATTTTAAACCCTAGCGATGTAAGAGCAGGTGCTGTTCTGACAGATATTAATAGAAAATCCTTTTTTGAATTTTACTAGAATAATGCTGGTCAGTAATATCCCATGACAGAACTCCACAGATTGGTTTTAATGCTGCATAAAAAGTATTCTTAAGAAAGGGAATTTTAAGAGAATTACTGAATTTTTTAAGTGTTGGGAATGCTTAACTCTGGCCTATTCTTCTCCACTGTACAAAGCAACAAACCCGCCTGGAGATCAGAAAAGACTTAGGCATGGAAATGAAACTGGAGCTCTGTGCTATACTTTTTGACACATGAAGCATTCTATAATTTCCTGGATCCTGGGAGGGCTGGCATTGATAGTCAGTGTGTTGTAGTTATTGTTATATAGATGAGCAGTAGTTCCCTGGTTCTTGGTGGTGATCTGCTGAGGTAAAGTGGAGTTCACCTATCTGGGGAAGGAAAACTAAGTGGTTTTGCATAGTCCCTTTAGGACTTGCCTGACAGAAACAAAGCTGATCTCAAACATGCTTTAATGATTGGCACTACTTAACTTGTCTTGAACAGCATAATAATTTGCTATTCTCTTTTTTAAAGTGCTGATACATTTTGTTAAGCCTAAAATATTGTACAGTTTTTGGTTTCTTTAAATCACATTTCAAAAATACAAGATCAGTTTTCATAATCTAAATTAGTCCCTGCTGATGTAAGTTTAACAGTTAGGAGCTCCAGAAATGATCAAAGAGTTAACAGTAACTATTAGAGTGAAGTAGGAATTTATTTTTAAAATGGAGTATATTTGTGTTTACCTTGAAGAGTAAATACCATGGACACTCAATGATTGTAGAGGTCAACAGTACACTCAGTGGGCTGTTTACAAGATGTGGTAGGAATTGTGGGTTTTTATTTTAAAACACTAGAGGGGTAGCCATGTTAGTCTGGATCTGTAAAAAGCAACAAATTGTCCTGTGGCACCTTATAGACTAACAGAAGTATTGGAGCATAAGCTTTCGTGGGTGACGCTTTCATATTCACCCATGAAAGCTTATGAAAGCTTATGCTGCAATACTTCTGTTAGTCTATAAGGTGCCACAGGACTCTTTGTCCCCTATTTTAAAACACTGTGTGTTTTATATGAGGAAAATACTTTCAGGTAGAGCCATGTGAAGAACTGATTTTTTGATTCACTGGCAGTTCTGAAAAATTGGAGAAAAAAATCTATTTGATCCAAACCCCACATTTTTTGTCAGTAGTGGTGCTGTCCCCCTCCTCCCCACACACTCTTATACCTGAAAGCCCAGTGGCTAGGGCACTCACCCGGCAGGTGAGAGACAGGAGACCTAAGTTTGAATCCCCACTCTGGAATGGAGATGTAAATTCGGGTTTCCCCATGCTCAGGTGAATGCACTAGCCACCTACAGGCTATCCTAGGGTAGGTCTCTTTCACTCTCTCTTGAAGCTGTTCCACTTTGTATAAAATACTGAAATTTTCAATGGGGCAGGGACCTGTCCCCATTCCCAGCCGAGCACTCTAACCGTGGGCTATAAGGTCACTCTCATGCTCTCGGTCTGGGGTCTAATGACAATTCAGGTATTTTATACAAAGCGGAACAGCTTCAGCAGGATAGAATGAGAGAAAACTACATCAGAAGAGCCAGTAGCCTGGTGGTTAGGACACTCACCTGGGTTCAAGTCCCTGCTCCAGAGTGGGAATGCAAACCTGTCTCCTATGTCCTAAGTGAGTGCCCGATGCACGGGGATGTTGGGTTCAAGGGAGGCTGGCAGCACCACAACCTCCTCCTTTTTGTGAATGGTGCCCTTATGACTATAGCCCAGAAAACCAAAAAGTGTCATTTTTATAAAAGTCAAAACGATTGATTTAGACATTACTGAAATATTTTCTTTGACTGAAACAATTTGCCAAAGTTGACACAAATTCGCACAATGTTTTGGTTGATCTGAATCTGCATTTTTCAGCAAAAATAGGTTTGGATGAAAATTTTTGCCCCGCTCTTCTTCCAATACAATACATTCTGATGTTAAACTTTTACCTCTCCTGTGGACAGTCTAACACTAGGGAGTAAAGTACGTTTATCATAAAGTAAATAAAATTATCTGTTACTTTGATCTGTATCAGTACTAACAAGCTTCATTCTTTGCTGTGCTTACCTCCTGTTATTCTTCAGTAGCACACCCCTCTGCCCAGGTACCGGAGCGGCCCACGGCAACCGTCTCACCACTGAGAACCCAGAACTCTCCATCCCGTCTCCCAGCCACTGTGGTTAGGTCACACTCCATGGCTTCTCCACAACATGCCCACCAGTCCCCTGTCCAGGTTATTCCTGGAGCACAGTGTGCCAGGCCCATCATTCCTCTCACTTCAGCAGCAGCAGCCATTACTCCTCCAAATGTCAGTGCGGCCAACTTGAACGGAGAGGCAGGAAATGGGCCGATCAGTGGCTTGGTGACTTCCAGCCCAACCAACACCTCCTGCAAAGCAGAGGAGAGGAAAAATGAAAAGGTAATTGCCTTCTCTGGTGTAATTTAGCAATGCGGGAAGCAGCGTACCTTTTTGAAAATCTTGAATGATATCTGACTTATTTTCTTCTTCTGTTTCCACCGAACATCCTTGCTAAGACCATATATTTTTGATTAATGCCTCTTGTGTGTGTGAGGAGAGATGTGATACTTTTCCTGGTTAATCTGTCAAACTCTCATGTTTAACAAGTTTGCTGAGCCTGTATCTTGTCTGCATTTATAGACTAAGGTTTTTCCTAGCTAACGGTTATAGAAAAAGATATAGAAACAATCCTCTATAGGTGTCAACGGTCCCCCATCCCAACGTTTAAATAAGGGAAGTAAAGGACAAACATCAAGAGATGCTTTTGCTCACCAGGTTTTCTATGAGAGGCAGAAGCAGCATTTTATCATGTAAGCACTGGGCATCCACATCTACAACTATTTTCATACTTTTTAAAATCTGTTCATTGGTTATACTGTAGCATTATCCACTTGCATGTGAGAAATGAGTTTTGCTGTTAATCTGTTACATTTCTACCTTCTGGCACTTTACTTGGTTGGTGTCTGAATCTTACAGATTTGAAATAGCATAGAAAGACATTATTGGAGAGAGACAGGCTTCACAGCCAGGTGGCCAAGTCAGAAACTATCTGTCTAATTACATGGAAGAAGTTTTATGAGGTACAAGCCTTGGATGCTGGTGATGGAAGCATAATAGAACACTGACATGTAAATGGTAGGAGCTGTTAACAGTTCTGTAAACATCTCCATTTCTTTCAGAAAATTGCATTGCCATGGTTCAGTGAAACAGAGAACTGGATTAAATATGACTCATTGCAGTATGTGATTGATACATTGTAGATTCAAGCTTCTAGGAATCAACACTGGAAACAATATTTCAATGTCTGCGCCTTAAACGTGTTGCTAATGAAAGCCAGGGCTTTAAACATTCTCAGCCTTTTAGACTCTTAACAAATATTTTGCTTTCACCCAGAGTTTGCCCTTTGAAAACAGTTCCCATATATCAACTCTGAGAGTTGTTCACTGGACACCATAGCAGAGTCTACTGATAAACTCTGCCTGGAAGCAAACTGTGGCTTGTGTTTGAACAGCCTGAGAGGTGAGGAGTTTAGCTTTCTCCTGGATTTGCAGAATTTTTTTTTCTAAATTCACTAAGTCGCTCCATAGTAACAGACATGCATGGGATAAACATTTACTGCGTACACAATAATGCCATGTTTGGAGATCTCCTGAGTGTGCTGAAGGAAACTTGGTAAATATGACATGTGCTCAGGTTCACAGATAAATACTAGTTTCACAAAGATGAGGAATGTGAGTTTTAAAATCCCCTCTTAATCCTCTCTCTTGAGTATCTTCCTGATGTCTTTCAGTAAAGAGAAGAAGGGCATTGAATTCTGCCCGGGATGTGAAATTTAAGTATCTGTTTCCAAAAAATGAATTCCCAACTAACACTGAATGTTCCATGATACATGACCAGTATAATACTTTTTTACTTGCAACCCGAGTTACTACTTTTGTAAGGGAAAGAAAACCTACAGTATATTGGCAAATTTAGTGAAAGATCTATGTTACCTCAGAAATGTGTTCCTCATCAGGGCTTAATGCAATGGGATTTTGGAACTTTTTAAAAAAACTCAAAAAGGAATCCAAATGTCCGTACATTTTTGTTGATAGATTTCTGGTAAGATTCCACATTAAAACTATACAGCCCCAGTTATACTGTGTTGTTTTCTAAAATATTTGTAAATTCATCCAAACATATAAAGCTTAAAGTTACTGACTTTGTCTGAGGGAAAATAAAAGCCATATGATTATTTGATCTTTATGGACAATAATCTATAAACTAACTATATATTTCAGTAATGCAAAGTATTGCAGAAAACTGATAGTCCTTGCAAAAAAAAGTGTGGAAGAGGAAGTGATGATTAAAATGATAAATTGGAATCTTAGAGGCTTGTTCTTCTCCTTCTGAGGGAGAGAAAGGCATATAACTGTCACGTGCATTGAGCAATAGACCCGAAACCTATTCATATAGCATTTCATTCTTATCTTATCCCCTCTTCTAAGAAGTCGTGATTGAGGCTTGTCCAATCCAAACTATGCACCTATTCTCTGCACAATCGGAATAAAATCTGAATAGAATTTTTAGGAAGTTAAGATTTAGGCTAATAATAGACTTAAAGCCACTTGTTACTAGAGAAGAACCTGAGCCGCAAAGTTGAGATTCTGGTCTGGATAGAGACCGAGCTCAGCCATACAGTTCAGATACATTCCAAACATCCTCAGATTTTGTTGTGAGCCCATCTCATTGTGGTTTAAAGGGAGGCCTCAAAAGTAATCCCCACGGTTGAGTTTTTCAGAGCAGGGCAGGGGATAGAGCCACTCATCTCCCATTCAATTTAATCCCCAGGGACAGCTTTTAAAATCTCAGACATCAATCCTCTGTTTCAACCTATTTTTGAAACATCTTGGCCAAAACTTTCCAACCTGGCAAACCTCAGAAACTAAATTCATATTTAGGCTCTATCTGACGGTCACTGATTTTCAAAGGAGCCGAACATCCATTGACTTCGCTAGGAGTCACTCGCAGGTCAGAAGGCAGAATTTGGCCCACTGCAGGGGTTCATGTTAACTGTGCAATTGCAGTCTTCACTCAGCCTTACACCTTCTCCCACATTTCTCTCCCCTAGAACTAACAGATCCCTCCCTGAAGCAGGGGAGACACCCCAGGAATACCAGGTTGGGAGCAAAATAAAGGGAAGCGAGTAGAACAGAAATCAAAGGGGCAACAATGTAAGGGAGGCACAAGAGGAGAGACAGGCCAGTAGTGGAAGTCGGGAGGTGTAACAGGAGTCACTTTTTCAGAACAGCAGTAGGGGTGGAAGCAAAGGGGTAGAACAAGAGGATGAGGGGTACAGTGGGAGTCATGAAGTGCTGGGCAAAGGACAGGGAGAGGGACACATGATACACACCAGGGAAGAGGGTCAAATAAAGCCAGATGGGGGAGAAAGCCCTGACACCAAACCCCTCAGGCACCAGTAGCCTGCCAGGTGTACCACCACTCAAAGGCAAGCCCTGAAGGTGCTTCAGCAGCTAGACCTAGGCGAAGTGAAAGGGCTAGCAGGAAAAGGGAAGCTTGCAAATATCCTGGGTACAGAGGGTTAACCAGTTACAGTTCAAGATGAGCAATAGCAGTTCTGGTTGGGCCCCCTGCGGCAGCCCAATCAAGAATTATGGCTCTTCAGACCTATAGCCTGGGGTTCCTTCTCCAGTCCAGTCTCTGTTCAAGGAAATGAAAGTTGTGGGTTTCCAGGCCAGAATCGCTTAATGGTGTGTCTCTCCCTGGGGCCCCTTTGCACTAGCTCCCTGCCCAGCCACCGCTACTCCCTCATAAGTAGGGGATCTACCAAATTCGCAGCCATGAAAATTGCATCATGGACCATGAAATCTGGTCTCCCCTGTGAAATATGATCTCCGGCCACCCAGCTCTGAAGGTAGAGCAGAGAACAGTGGCTGCTGCCCATGCGTCCATCTCTGAAGACAGCACTGCCCGCCAGCAGCAGCAGAAGAGAAGTAAAGGTGGCATGGAATTTAAGTAGACCCCAACGATTCAAGTAGACCTCTACTCATATTTCTCATACAGACCTGCACCCAGCTGTCATGTCCAGCAGTCACAGCCTGTTCCACACGCAGCTCTACATGCATTTCCTGCGAGGTCCTGGCTGCTTTCCAGCTCCGGGCTCACAATGTGACTGCTGTTTTCCGAGAGTGCCCAATCACTTCCTGGGGCGGGTCCTTCCTCTTACATGGCCAGGAGAAAGGGAAGTGCAGTGGGAATGCAGCTAATGGGAATCATTTTCTCCTGCCAGAAGTGCCTTGTCATTTCATGGGCCAGGGTCTTTCCTTCTACCTAGCCAGGGGAAAGAAGATGTTCAGTGGGGAGAGGGCAATGGGGAATTGTAGTTTCCTGCTTAGAGGTTTCACCACAGACCTCCCATCACAAGCCATCTGGGGTTCATAGGTAAACACTATTCTGCTCCAGGAACAAAATATCACCACTCCAGAATGGGGATAGCCAAATAAATCCCTTTCCAGTGGATTGAACAAAGACTCCCTAAAATGTCACCGGGTCAGAGGGAAGATAACGAAAAATAAAAGTGAATGCAAACTGCTTCATTTTATGGTAGAGATTGTGTTTGAGTTTCTTCAGTTACTTATCTAGTTAATTACTAACTAGCTACTAACTCGATCTGTCACTGTGATCCCTACTAAACTTTCTGAATTCCCCCCCATTTGAAAGAATGACAGGGAGATCTCAGCAAGGGAATGAAACTAAAGACCTGTGTTGTGTTTTTTAAATCATAGACCCTATCTCTTCAATCAGGGTGCGTGTTCTCTAAATCCAACTGGTAGAATGCAGCTGAGACCATGCAATTATAGCATAGTCTTTAGTTCCACCTCAGCCAATTACTTGTATTATAACTTCTTTTTCACACACAGACAGACACACACACACATTCTCACACACACACAAACACTCTGTTTAGCACCTCTGATAAAGCCACTTATTTGAATGAATTAATGCATTTCTCATTAAACATGCTCCTTATTACTTTAATCAAATCAAGCAAGTCACACTGGGTGGTTTGACCACTCTAATTAAACTTTCTGTAAAATCCACTCATTTCATTTTTGATGAGAATTTTGATTAAATTCCTGTAAACGTCTGGCACCATGTCTGCTAAAGTTGAGGATAAGTGATTGCTCTTGTGAGTAGCCTGTTAATTTATCATACGTTTTACTGACTCTTTTTTGCTTTAACAGCCAGAATGTACAAAAATGTTTGAAAATTGGCAACCCAAAATTAAACAGTTGTTCTAAGTGTGCAGAAAAAAAAATCTGTTTGCAGCTTTAAAATAGGGTAAAACCAACAAATGAGTTCCTAGAATCTATGCAGTAGCTGCGAAAATCTGTTAAACAGATCACAGAAATGGGGAAAACATATCATATTGCTGTTTACTGATGTTAAGGTAACGAGATTTTCAGAAAGAGCCTCTGAACAAACACCTACAGTTTTGCATATATAAATCATGTAAATAATAGAGGGGCTAGATGTCTTTTTCCTCACCTGTGTCACTTGCTTGTACAAATTCAGATTATTTAGCACAAAAATAATTTTGCTCACAAAGTTACAGATGCAAATTTGGAGGCTGGATAGAAGTCTCTTTGAAAATTTGGCTCTGTAAAACAAGAGACAGTGTTAGATTGTCTTTTTCCTTTTTCATAGTAAATGTCTTCATCCAGATTGCCTGTTTAAACTGTGACTCTAATCACTAGACTGATAGGTTCAGTGGGTAGTACTCAAATTCTGCATCCAGGACCTGATCCTACAAGGTTCAGAGCCCCCCTCAGTTCCCAATGACTAAGTTTTAAAATCTGTTTTGCAGCTTTTTCATATATTATTAACTTGTGTGAAAGTGAAAAGGATTTTTATCACTTTGTATTTACTAAAAAAATTGAATTCTTCTTTCAGAAAATGGAGGGTCAGTCTGAAATGTGCGGTGCCGAGCCCCTTCAGCTCCCACTGACTTTATTAGATATTAAATGACCAAAATAGTGGTCACTTTGGGACAAGTAAATATAAAAGAAGCTAAGGACTTTCAATATGACTAACACTAAATTTTTGGAAGTGGAATTCAATAATCTTAGTAGAGATGAAGTGATACAAAATATTATTATTATTTTATTATTTTATTATTTTGCTTTGAAACATTCACCTGAGAAGAAAGTGGAAGAAAAAAAAAAGGTATGGCAAAAATAAAAAAGTCAATTACAGAAAAGTACCACAGTTTAGTTCCTCTTCTAGTTCGATTTCCTCTGTATGTAGAAAACAAAAGTAGTAACACTGTCAAGTTTTGCATCAAAAATATAAGCAGCTAAAAGAATAAGTTCTGTACTGTGAAAGATCCATTTCTTTTCAATACACTCTAGCGGGCTGTAGTCACCACTAATGAGCTCCAGCTTTCCACATTTCAGAAGGCTGATCTTGTGACCATCAAGTGATTCACCAGACACTTGGCCCGTGAGGGAAGCCTTTTCTTCCGATCATGTGAGTTCAGGCCACAAAGTGCAGATTTGGGGTAGAGAGCTCATGCTTCAAATCTCTCCAGCGCCTTCTCCACCATCACTAAAGCTCAATCAAAAGGACAGAAAAACTGGCAACCGACTGATGAACATTTTTCAGGCTGGCAATTAACCCAGCCAAAAGCATGAACCCCAGCTGTCAAAACATAGCATACTTCTGCTTTACAAGAAAACAGATTGTCTTTTTGACTGGCGGGGGTTCTTTTGCTTAGGTCAAAGGCAGTATGCCATTGATCAAAATTTCTTTTTCTTCCTCAGATTTTTATGTTATGAAATGCTTTCAAACTCCCCACAGAAATTTTGCACCTTGACTTTGCTGCAAAGCGGCCTCTGAAAGTCCATTTTTCCTGTAATGCAATCGGAGGATCTCTCATATATCCACAGGGAAATTTTCCTGGTATCATCGTTAATGTCTCTGTGCTGTACTTTGTGGCTATCAGTAGAGCTGCTCAGGAATTTTCCAACAAAATTCCACCACCACCCCGGCTCCCCCACCCCCACACACACCCGCCAAGAGAAAATACCAAAAAGGGCTGGTTTAGCCAAACCTGATTTGAAATTTTTTTGAAAAACAGTTCTGAAATTGTAGAAATGCCCCATTTTGACAAACAAGATGTTTTATTTTTTATTCAAAATGACTCTTGACATTTTAGTTAACTTACAGTAAAAAATGTTTTAAAAATATAAAAAGTAAAAATTGAAACCTATTTTGATTTACCTGATCCAAAAAAAATGTGGATTATTGGTTCTCAAAAATTGTAGAGATTGACCTTGCACCCCACATTTGGATGGGAAAAAAATTGAAATCTCAAACTCTTGTAGGATAGGAAAGTCGTTTCCCATCGAGTGCAAGCTATAAGGGGAGGTGAAACCAAAGACATTGTGAATGGAGAATGCTTTGGCTTCAAGATGAGATTATGTGAACTCCAAGATGTAGCATTCTGCTGGCACCTACAGAGGTCTAATTTTATAGTGAATAGGGCCTGTGTTGTTTACTAAATCCTTAGCTTTGCTTGGGGGAAAACCAAAGAACTGACAAAAGACAAGGGCACACAAGGGAGTGCTGGAAAGAAAAAGATAAAGTTCTATGGATGTTATGTGAAAAAATATAGGATCAGAATTTGCAGGAAGGACAGGCAGGGGAAAAAGGGAGGAAGTGTTGCCTTACATATTAAAAATGTATACGCTTGGACTGAGGTTGAGATGGAAATAGGAGACAGAATAAAAGGGGTAAAAACAAGGGTAATATCATGATAGGGTCCAGTACAGACCATCTAACCAGGAAGAAGAGATTGATGAGGCTTTTTTAAAAATAATTAACAAAATCATCCAAAGCACAGGACTTGGTGGTGATGGGGGAATTCAAATACCCAGACATCTGTTGGGAAAATATCACAGCAGGGCACAGATTATCCAACAAATTCTTGGACTGTATTGGAGACAATTTTTTATTTCAGAAGGTGGAGAAAGCTACTAGGGGAGAGGCTGTTCTAGATTTGATTTTGACAAATAGGGAGGAACTGGTTGAGAATTTGAAAGTAATGATGAAATGGTAGAGTTCATGATTCTAAGGAATGGTAGGCGGGAAAACAGCACAATAAAGATAATGGATTTCAAGAAGGCAGAGTTTAGCAAACTGAGGGAGTTGGTAGGTAAGATCCCATGGGAAGCAAGTCTAAGAAAAAAGGCAGTTTGAGAGAGTTGGCAGTTTTTCAAAGAGACATTATTAAGAGCACAAGAGCAAGCTATCCCATTGTGTGGGAAAGATAGGAAGTATGGCAAGAGACCACCCTGGCTAAATCAGGAGATCTTCAGTGATATGAAACTCAAAAAGGAGTCCTACAAAAAGTGGAAACTAGATCAAATTACAAAGGATGAATATAAACAAATAATACAAGTATGTAGGGACAAAATTAGAAAGGCCAAGGCGAAAAAATGAGATTAAATTAGCTCGAAACATAAAGGGTAACAAGAAAACATTCTACAAATACATTAAAAGAAGAAGGAAGATAACTCAGTGAGGTGGGAGGAACAATAACAGAAAATGTGGAACTGGCAGAAGTGCTAAATGACTTTTTTGTTTCAGTTTTCACCAAGAAGGTTGGTGGTGATTGGACAGCTAACATAGTGAATGCCAATGAAAATGAGATAGGATCAGAGGCTAAAATAAGGAAAGAACAAGTTAAAAATTACTTAGACAAGTTAGATGTCTTCAAGTCACCAGGGCCTGATGAAATACCTCCTAGAATACTTAAGGAGTTGAGGAGATATCTGAGCCATTAGCGATTATCTTTGAAAAATCATGGAAGATGGGAGAGATTCCAGAGGACTGGAAAGGGCAAATATAATGCCAATCTCTAAAAAGGGAAATAAGGACAACCCAGGGAATTAAAGACAAATCAGCTTTACTTCTCTACCCGGAAAGATAATGAAGCAAATAATTAAGCAATCAATTTGCAAACACCTAGAAGATAATAAGTTGATAAGTAACAGTCAGCCTGGATTTGTCAAAAACAAATTGTGTCAAACCAAGCTAAAAGCTTTCTTTGACAGGGTAACACGCCTTGTGGATGGGGGGAAGCAGAAGATGTGGTATATCTTGACTTTAGATGTGGTATATCTTGACTTTAGTAAGGCTTTTGATACTGACTCACATGACCTTCTCATAAACAAACTAGGGAAATACAACCTAGATGGAGCTACTATAAAGTGGGTGCATAACTGGTTGAAAAATCTTTCCCAGAAAGTAGTTATTAGTGGTTCACACTCAAGCTGGAAGGGCGTATCGAGT